GAGTGTGTGTGTTTTTGAGGAGCAGGAGTGTGACGCTCGTTGAGTGTGTGTGTTTTTGAGGAGCAGGAGTGAGGGTGTTTTTGAGGAGCAGGAGTGGGACGCTTGTCGAGTGTGTGTGTTTTTGAGGAGCAGGAGTGTGACGCTTGTCGAGTGTGTGTGTTTTTGAGGAGCAGGAGTGTGACGCTCGTCGAGTGTGTGTGTTTTTGAGGAGCAGGAGTGTGACGCTTGTCGAGTGTGTGTGTTTTTGAGGAGCAGGAGTGTGATGCTCGTCGAGTGTGTGTGTTTTTGAGGAGCAGGAGTGTGATGCTCGTCGAGTGTGTGTGTTTTTGAGGAGCAGGAGTGTGACGCTTGTCGAGTGTGTGTGTTTTTGAGGAGCAGGAGTGTGACGCTCGTCGAGTGTGTGTGTGTTTTTAAGGAGCAGGAGTGAGTGTGTTTTTGAGGAGCAGGAGTGTGACGCTTGTCGAGTGCGTGTGTTTTTGAGGAGCAGGAGTGTGACGCTTGTCGAGTGTGTGTGTTTTTGAGGAGCAGGAGTGTGACGCTCGTCGAGTGTGTGTGTGTTTTTGTGGTATGGTATGGCATCGAGAAAACGAGTGAATCGTTACACCCCTAAAAAAACCCCTAATAAATAACCTAAAATACAAACAAAATTAAATTATTATTTAACTAAAAACTCAACGTTGTTTAATCTAGCTTGAGCCAAACTGGTGTTCAGGAGTGTGTGTGTTTTTGAGGAGCAGGAGTGTGTGTGTTTTTGAGGAGCAGGAGTGTGACTCTCGTCGAGTGTGTGTGTGTGTGTTTTTGAGGAGCAGGAGTGAGTGTGTTTTTGAGAAGCAGGAGTGTGACGCTCGTCGAGTGTGTGTGTGTGTGTTTTTGAGGAGCAGGAGTGAGTGTGTTTTTGAGGAGCAGGAGTGTGACGCTTGTCGAGTGCGTGTGTTTTTGAGGAGCAGGAGTGTGACGCTTCTCGAGTGTGTGTGTGTTTTTGTGGAGCAGGAGTGAGTGTGTTTTTGAGGAGCAGGAATGTGACGCTCGTCGAGTGTGTGTGTTTTTGAGGAGCAGGAGTGTGACGCTCGTCGAGTGCGTGTGTTTTTGAGGAGCAGGAGTGAGGGTGTTTTTGAGGAGCAGGAGTGTGACGCTTGTCGAGTGTGTGTTTTTGAGGAGCAGGAGTGTGACGCTCGTCAAGTGTGTGTGTTTTTTGTGGAGCAGGAGTGAGTGTGTTTTTGAGGAGCAGGAATGTGACGCTCGTCGAGTGTGTGTGTTTTTGAGGAGCAGGAGTGTGACGCTCGTCGAGTGTGTGTGTTTTTGAGGAGTAGGAGTGTGATGCTTGTCGAGTGTGTGTGTTTTTGAGGAGCAGGAGTGAGTGTGTTTTTGAGGAGTAGGAGTGAGTGTGTTTTTGAGGAGCAGGAGTGTGACGCTCGTTGAGTGTGTGTGTTTTTGAGGAGCAGGAGTGAGTGTGTTTTTGAGGAGCAGGAGTGTGACGCTCGTTGAGTGTGTGTGTTTTTGAGGAGCAGGAGTGTGACGCTTGTTGAGTGTGTGTGTTTTTGAGGAGCAGGAGTGAGGGTGTTTTTGAGGAGCAGGAGTGGGACGCTTGTCGAGTGTGTGTGTTTTTGAGGAGCAGGAGTGTGACGCTTGTCGAGTGTGTGTGTTTTTGAGGAGCAGGAGTGTGACGCTCGTCGAGTGTGTGTGTTTTTGAGGAGCAGGAGTGTGACGCTTGTCGAGTGTGTGTGTTTTTGAGGAGCAGGAGTGAGTGTGTTTTTGAGGAGTAGGAGTGAGTGTGTTTTTGAGGAGCAGGAGTGTGACGCTCGTTGAGTGTGTGTGTTTTTGAGGAGCAGGAGTGTGTGTGTTTTTGAGGAGCAGGAGTGTGACTCTCGTCGAGTGTGTGTGTGTGTTTTTGAGGAGCAGGAGTGAGTGTGTTTTTGAGGAGCAGGAGTGTGACGCTCGTCGAGTGTGTGTGTGTGTGTTTTTGAGGAGCAGGAGTGAGTGTGTTTTTGAGGAGCAGGAGTGTGACGCTTGTCGAGTGCGTGTGTTTTTGAGGAGCAGGAGTGTGACGCTTCTCGAGTGTGTGTGTTTTTTGTGGAGCAGGAGTGAGTGTGTTTTTGAGGAGCAGGAATGTGACGCTCGTCGAGTGTGTGTGTTTTTGAGGAGCAGGAGTGTGACGCTCGTCGAGTGTGTGTGTTTTTGAGGAGTAGGAGTGTGATGCTTGTCGAGTGTGTGTGTTTTTGAGGAGTAGGAGTGAGTGTGTTTTTGAGGAGCAGGAGTGTGACGCTCGTCGAGTGTGTGTGTTTTTGAGGAGCAGGAGTGAGTGTGTTTTTGAGGAGCAGGAGTGTGACGCTTGTCGAGTGTGTGTGTTTTTGAGGAGCAGGAGTGTGACGCTCGTTGAGTGTGTGTGTTTTTGAGGAGCAGGAGTGAGTGTGTTTTTGAGGAGCAGGAGTGTGACGCTCGTTGAGTGTGTGTGTTTTTGAGGAGCAGGAGTGAGGGTGTTTTTGAGGAGCAGGAGTGAGTGTGTTTTTGAGGAGCAGGAGTGGGACGCTTGTCGAGTGTGTGTGTTTTTGAGGAGCAGGAGTGTGACGCTCGTCGAGTGTGTGTGTTTTTGAGGAGCAGGAGTGAGTGTGTTTTTGAGGAGTAGGAGTGAGTGTGTTTTTGAGGAGCAGGAGTGTGACGCTCGTTGAGTGTGTGTGTTTTTGAGGAGCAGGAGTGTGTGTGTTTTTGAGGAGCAGGAGTGTGACTCTCGTCGAGTGTGTGTGTGTGTGTTTTTGAGGAGCAGGAGTGAGTGTGTTTTTGAGAAGCAGGAGTGTGACGCTCGTCGAGTGTGTGTGTGTGTGTTTTTGAGGAGCAGGAGTGAGTGTGTTTTTGAGGAGCAGGAGTGTGACGCTTGTCGAGTGCGTGTGTTTTTGAGGAGCAGGAGTGTGACGCTTCTCGAGTGTGTGTGTTTTTGTGGAGCAGGAGTGAGTGTGTTTTTGAGGAGCAGGAATGTGACGCTCGTCGAGTGTGTGTGTTTTTGAGGAGCAGGAGTGTGACGCTCGTCGAGTGCGTGTGTTTTTGAGGAGCAGGAGTGAGTGTGTTTTTGAGGAGAAGGAGTGTGACGCTCGTCGAGTGTGTGTTTTTGAGGAGTAGGAGTGTGACGCTTGTCGAGTGTGTGTGTTTTTGAGGAGCAGGAGTGTGATGCTCGTCGAGTGTGTGTGTTTTTGAGGAGCAGGAGTGTGATGCTCGTCGAGTGTGTGTGTTTTTGAGGAGCAGGAGTGTGACGCTTGTCGAGTGTGTGTGTTTTTGAGGAGCAGGAGTGTGACGCTCGTCGAGTGTGTGTGTGTTTTTAAGGAGCAGGAGTGAGTGTGTTTTTGAGGAGCAGGAGTGTGACGCTTGTCGAGTGCGTGTGTTTTTGAGGAGCAGGAGTGTGACGCTTGTCGAGTGTGTGTGTTTTTGAGGAGCAGGAGTGTGACGCTCGTCGAGTGTGTGTGTGTTTTTAAGGAGCAGGAGTGAGTGTGTTTTTGAGGAGCAGGAGTGTGACGCTTGTCGAGTGCGTGTGTTTTTGAGGAGCAGGAGTGTGACGCTTCTCGAGTGTGTGTGTTTTTTGTGGAGCAGGAGTGAGTGTGTTTTTGAGGAGCAGGAATGTGACGCTCGTCGAGTGTGTGTGTTTTTGAGGAGCAGGAGTGTGACGCTCGTCGAGTGTGTGTGTTTTTGAGGAGCAGGAGTGAGTGTGTTTTTGAGGAGTAGGAGTGTGACGCTCGTCGAGTGTGTGTTTTTGAGGAGTAGGAGCGTGACGCTTGTCGAGTGTGTGTGTTTTTGAGGAGCAGGAGTGTGATGCTCGTCGAGTGTGTGTGTTTTTGAGGAGAAGGAGTGTGATGCTCGTCGAGTGTGTGTGTTTTTGAGGAGCAGGAGTGAGTGTGTTTTTGAGGAGCAGGAGTGTGACGCTTGTCGAGTGTGTGTGTTTTTGAGGAGCAGGAGTGTGACGCTCGTCGAGTGTGTGTGTTTTTGAGGAGTAGGAGTGTGGCGCTTGTCGAGTGTGTGTGTTTTTAAGGAGCAGGAGTGTGAAGCTTGTAGAGTGTGTGTGTTTTTGAGGAGCAGGAGTGAGTGTGTTTTTGAGGAGCAGGAGTGTGATGCTCGTCGAGTGTGTGTGTTTTTGAGGAGCAGGAGTGAGTGTGTTTATGAGGAGCCAGGAGTGTGACGCTAGTCGAGTGTGTGTGTGTTTTTGAGGAGCAGGAGTGTGACGCTAGTCGAGTGTGTGTGTGTTTATGAGGAGCCAGGAGTGTGACGCTAGTCGAGTGTGTGTGTTTTTGAGGAGCAGGAGTGTGACGCTAGTCGAGTGTGTGTGTTTTTGAGGAGCAGGAGTGTGAAGATCGTAGAGTGTGTGTGTTTTTGAGGAGCAGGAGTGTGTGTGTTTTTGAGGAGCAGGAGTGTGACGCTCGTCGAGTGTGTGTGTTTTTGAGGAGCAGGAGTGTGACGCTCGTCGAGTGTGTGTGTTTATGAGGAGCAGGAATGTGACGCTCGTCGAGTGTGTGTGTTTTTGAGGAGCAGGAGCATGACGCTTGTTCGAGTGTGTGTTGTTTTGAGGAGCAGGAGTGTGACGCTCGTCAAGTGTGTGTTTTTTAAGACGGCATGTGATTATTTCGAACACAGACACAGAAATTAGAGTCTTGTTAGTTTGGAGAGGAATTAATCCTGCCCTCGGGTCTGTCTACTGCAATTAAAGCACATTATCACTTATAATCGACTGAAGTGTGTGTGTGTATGTGTAAGTGCGTGTGTTTGAGTGAGTGAGTGTGTGTTCACAGGTGTGACGGGCGAGTGAATAGTTGGATCATCCACTAGTGAGACCGAAACCCTCAGGAGCTTGACTGCTGGTGTGTGTGCGTGTGTGTGTGTGTGTGAGTGTGTGTGTATACTCAAAGGTGTGACGGGCGAGTGAATAGTTGGATCATCCACTGGTGAGACCGAAGCCCTTGGGAGCTTGACTGCTGGTGTGTGTGAGAGTGTGAGTGTGTGTGTGTTTGTGTGTGTGTACTCACAGGTGTGACGGGCGAGTGAATAGTTGGATCCTCCGCTGCTCAGACCGAAGCCCTCGGGAGCTTGACTGCTGGTCCGGGCTCGTGACGGGAGTTTGGGGGGTTCGATCTCCGCGCCGAACTCAGCCCCGATGACGCCGAGCAGGACGATAGCCGTCGCCTGTTTCCTGCGCTCCTCGTACGAGTTACTGATCCTCTTAGCGCTCGGCGGGAGGTTAGATAGACAACCTGCACACACACACACACACACACAGAAAGATTCACTTAAAGGTGCATTATGTAATATTTAAGAGGATCTGTTGCCAGAGATGCAATATCATAAACACTGTTTTCAGTGGTGTATAAAGACCTTACATAATGAACCGTTATGCTTTTATTACCTTAGAATGAGCCATTTCTCTCTACATGTTTTTACGGTGGCCCTGAACAGACAAACGCGTTTCGTCAATATGTTCTTCATGCTAAAGTCAACGAATAAACACTGACACAATGATGAACAAGTAAAAATAATATTTTCAAAAACATCTCGTTTTACTGAATAATTAAGTAAACCTAATTTCTTAATTTGTATTTGTAAAGAAACCTCATTGCTTAACTGGCTAACCTCTGCTTTCTCAGACGACAACATCACTTCCTGTCGGCCACTGTAACTTCTGTTGGGTGTAATTCACAACCTCACCACTAGATGCCACTAAAAATGACACACTGCACCTTTAAGACAACATAAAACTACATAAAGATTCACTGCTGCTGTTCTGAGTGTTCAGGGGCAAATCATTTACAGAGATAATAACCTAAATTAAAATACATAAATAAATAAAAACAAACAAAAAAATGAGTCAAGTAAATTCAAGTAAATTAAGATAAATGTAAATTCTTATCAATGTAAAATAATAATATAAAGCAAAACGACAAATCCTTTAAAAAAATGATAAACAAGTAAATCATTAAAAGCAATAAAATAAGATAAAATAAATCCCTTTTCAGAAAATCTAAATTGAAGTAAATTTACTCATCAATTTAAGTAAACCCTTAAAAATATTAATGTAAAATAATAAGCCGTAATTCTTATATATTCAAGTAAATATTTAAAGAAATTAGTCAAATTAAATGAAAAATATAATCCCAGGAAATAAAAATAAATCCATATAAACATTTTTTTTCCTTGAAAATAATACAAGTCAATCCTTGAAAATAATACAATTAAATTTATATAAATATAACAAATAAACTTTCAGGAAATTTCACATGTTGTGCTGTGGTCAGATGAAGCTACGCAGTAGAGCTCTGAGTTCATTGTAAATATGTGCGCTTCCAGAGGGACACCTGCATATAAACGTCCTGAACCAAAGCTGCAGCTTCGGCTTTGTGCTCCAGCGTCCTGTAAGGGCTCTGAATGGAGCACAATTGTGTGTGTGTGTGTGTTTTAGGGTCATGGTCAGGGCCTTGTGCTGGAGGGACACGTGCTCAGGACACACACACACACACACACATATACTCAGTCAGTCATTAAGAGACCCGGAGGGGTCTTTGCTTGCGGAAGTGTGGGTGCGGTCGGATGGGGCTTCTTTTGTTACCAAACGTGTGTGTACCGCAGGAGCCCCTCAAACACGGGACGTGCAATTAGTCACACAGGCACACGCACAGACACACACACACAGACACACGCGCACTTCTGAGGCCACGATACAGACACGCATGATGATGTAGATCGGTTCATTGATGAAAACACACATAAACTGCTAGGATGAATCATTGTTTCATTCTCATTTGCTAACTGCCATTTCTTTCGAGTGTGTGTGTGCATTTACTGCACTAAACAAAGACACTAATGAAAGTGTTTGTGTGTGTGTGAGAGAGTGAGAGAGATATGGACAGATCCATACAACAAAGTAAAGCATTGGCTGCACACACACACACACACACACATTTCTAACACAGGTTGATGTTTCATGTTGTTTAAGGTTCACAAACCTACAGTCCTCCTATTGAACTGCAGCTGAAACTCGATGTCGGATGGGAATAACCGACACCGAGAGCGGCATGAGACACACACGTTTATCTCACTCTCTAATGAGAAACACTGTTTTTATATTCAGTAAAGATTAATATATGCAGGAACTACAGACCATCTCAAACCCCAACAAACGTGATTTACTTCTTAAAAAAAAATAATAATAATAAAAAAAAAACTCTGAAGTTTATAAGATAAAATTCACTTCTGGAGACTTTGTTCCCAACATGTAGATAGGAATATGACTATAATATTCAGAATATGTATATATCAACACTCTGAACGAGAGTCAGGGTTATTATTATGGATAATTTAAACTATAAAGCTTTTCTAGAACTTGAAATAAAGTAAACGTTGACTTAAATAATATTATATATATATATATATATATATATACATATATATACATATATATAAAACATTTTATGAAAATGAATCTGTACTGGATAAAAATATTTGGTCAGTTACTTCTGTACTTACTAAATTTCATATCTAAAACAAAAAATGAGTAGCAAATAATAATAAATAATAGTACTCAAACAAAATACAACCACAACAAATAAATAAGTTAATATAATAATGTTTAATATAGAAATTTACTTAAATTTAATTAATTTTTGTATAAAAACAAACCACAGAACTTAGTCTTTATTTCCACTCGTTTAAAAAACAAAACAAAATTGTATTACATTTTTTTTCTGCCTCACACTAAAAGGTCTAACCTGATTGGCTCTGTTAATGACATCTCGACTAATTCAGTTTGACCTCAGCCTCTTTCTATTGGCTCTCAGCTGACCTCTGACCTCTGAACACTCAGGATCAAACCAGCATCTTTCAAAATGTCCACATCAGGATCATAAACGCAGACATTCACGGACACACTTACAACACGACAAGACATTAAAAAAAACCATTCAATTTAAAATAATTTAGTGTTTGTTTTGATTTCTTAATTGCTTTTGTTCCCCTTTTACAAGTGGCATAAATGTAAATCTAGTCCAGTTTAGTCTATTTCACTTGTGCATTTAGAGACGTCGTTCTCTGTTCAACTCATGTAAAAATAAATAAATAAATAATATATAATGCATCATCCATCCCTGTATTCTCTATATTTACTGGTGTATTTATTGTGTTTGTGATCATAATGCAGTCAAGGAGAGTTGCAGCAAGTGTTGATCTCACCGTCATCAAAGCAAATGAAACGTGGCAAGAGAAATATGTGACGATAAACTGGACTCATAGTTTCACTGCCAAGAGAAATAACTCTCACACACAATCTTAGAGCATTTTCATGCTTTTGTTATTAGAGAAAATCTTACCAGGAAACAAACACACACACACACACACACAAGGTTGTGTATGACATCTGATGTGATTCGATCATCTTTGTTTAATCAGTATATGAGCGCTTCTTACCTGCAATATTAAAGATAAAATCAAAGCTATGACAACAAAACAAACACTGAAATATTGATAATCCTCAGAGGAGCAGCACAACACCTGTATGTGTGTGTGTGTGTATTGTCTGCTATTAATATTACAGCAGTCAGCAGTGTATGGAAGACACACACACACACACACACACACACACACATCATCATCATCATGTTTGAAGCCTCAGTGTGTTTGAATCAGCTGGCTTTAGTCAATGAACCACAAGTGCATTTCAAACTTACAAACCCACTATATTTAGCTAAAGCGTGTTTTGCATCTTTCTTAAAAATATATTACACTTTAATATTTTACATGTAATAAAGTGACATTTAAATGTTACTAAAAATACTATTTGGTGTCACAGTATTTAGAGGCCATATATTGTAAAAGTGTTATGAAAGAAACAGCCTTTCCATCTGCAGGTACCTAACATGGCTGCCAGTGTCGATCTTTGTGTGTGTGTGTGTGTGTGTGTGTGTGTGCAGCTAAATCAATACCACGGTGCTGCATTCAAGGTGAAACCAAATCAAACTGTGATGAGGAACACAGCAGACGCACAACACAAATCACACACACACACCACTAAAGCATACACACACAAACTACACATATGGTTGAAAAATACTAATAAAGTAATATGAATAATAAAGAAGAAAAAAATGTAGCATTTTAAAAATTTTTAAGAATGAAAAAACAAAACATATATATATATATATATAGAATAGAAATTATAAATTATTATAATTTAATTATAAATATAAATTATTTTTTTAAATTAATAAATTATAAAAATATATTTTTTTAGAATTAAAAAATCTTAGCATTTCGAAAATCTGAAAAAAAAGAATGAAAGAAAAATACAAATACACACACACACATATATATATATATATAAAATTATAATATATATATTTTTTTTAGAATTAAAAAATCTTACATTATAACGTTTCATACTTTTTAATTAATTTTATTATCATATAACTCTGTTGTTTTAAAATATAGATGTAATGTTTAATGAAGTAAAACAGTTACTTATACCAGAATCCATTAAAATATATATTTATGTTGTTAAATATGTAATAATATAATACAATATAATATAATTATTTATTATAATGTATAATTATATTATTTTTTTGTTAATGAATTCCAGAATAATTACTTTATTTTAATTTACTTTATTAGGTTTTTATTATAGAATGTTTTTAAAAAATAATTTCCTACTTATACCATAACCCATTCAAATACATTTATAATAATTTAAATTAACATTGTAATATAATATAATATAATATAATATAATATAATTATTTATTATAATGTATAATTATATAATTTTTTTGTTAATGAATTCCAGAATAATTACTTTATTTTAATTTACTTTATTAGGTGTTTATTATAGAATGTTTTTTTTTAAATAATTCTTACTTATACCATAACCCATTCAAATACATTTATAATAATTTAAATTAACATTGTAATATAATATAATATAATATAATATAATATAATATAATATAATATAATATAATATAATATAATATAATATAATATAATATAATATAATATAATATAATATAATACCATTATTTTGTCGTCATTAAATTCCGGATTAAATTATTACTTCAGTTTTTAATTCCAGAATGTTTTTTAAAATAATTCTTATTCAAGTTTAAACTGCGAATAAAACACATTCTGGTTCAGTGATTGCACATGAGCAAATGTTGAGTGAACTTTAATTTTGAGTGATGTTTTTATTGGTCGATGCTTTTATTTAACA